GAGTTGAAAACTGCATTGTCGAAGGCTCTCGTGGCCAGAATCACTGGGTGGTGGTTGTGGTGTGGCTTTCCGGGCTGTATGGACACTAGCTCACTTGCTGGGTTTGGGACAGTGATTCTCAATCATCCTCACACCTCTGAGGATGCTTGCCATAGATGCAGGCGAAACGTCAGGAGAGAATGCCTCTAGAACATGGCCATATAGCCCGAAAAAACCTACAACAACCAATTCATTCATCCATCCCTGGGAATCCTGGCAGAGTCCCTGGCCTCCTTTGGCCAGTCTCTGCATGGGCCGGCATGGAGGCCAAGGGAGAAAGGGCCGAACGCGCGGCCAGGTTTCAAGGCTTTCTCACCCGATCATCTTGAGATCAAAGCTACGCTGATAGGAAGGGAAACCTCTCCAAGTCCTGGCTTATCTGTCTCGATAAGAAGGCCCGGGAGAAAAGGAAATCTAGTTTCTCCCCGTGATCGAGAGAGCGGCACTTCCCATTTAATTCCGGCCCTTGGCCTTTGACCGCTTGTGTCCATCCTTTGACCACTCTGCTACTTTTGAGTCTCCTCTGGGAGAGAAAAAGCAGGATATCAACACCTAAAATTGATAGCGATGGCTACAGTCCAGGCAGGGGCCAACTTCAGCCCTCCAGGGGTTGTGGACTACAACTCCCACAATTCCTAACAGCCTCAGGTCCCTTCCTTTAAGCGGCTGTGGGGCAAAAGGAAGGGACCTGAGGCTGTTAGGAATTGTGGGAGTTGTAGTCCACAACCCCTGGAGGGCTGAAGTTGGCCCCTGCCCGTGGTAGGACGAATCCAGCTGAAGTGCCTTGATTCCCAGGGCCTGTAGTTTTGCAAGGCGTGGAGTCTTCTCTGCTAAAGGGTGCTGATGCCTCACCAAACTACAAATCCTAGGATCTCATCACAATGAGAGGAGACATCCCTTGAATAAGAAGCTCCAGGCACAGCTCCTCCTTCTGTTTTGGCTCAGCACTACGATTACCATATTATAGTGTGTCCTCGCTACTTTGCGGTTCGCTTATTGCGGACTTGCTGCTTCGCGGGGTTTTCCTTCCCCTTCTTATACTTTCTATGTATGTATCTCACCAAGAATGAACGGCACTAATTTCCTTTTCGGGGGAGTCGGCTGGGAGAGGAGTATAATCTTTGTTGCTAACAGTTCAGAGAGATATCTAGGGCAACTGAAAGAACACTTCCGAAACTCTGCTATATATAGATATATATATTTTTGTGCATTGGCACCAGATGGGGCCCTCTTCCTACTGGAGGTTGGTGCTATGACTCTCTTTTGCCATTAGTGATAAGATAAAACTAAGGACTGATATAATTTTCTGAAATGGCAACTTACTTGTCCGAACGCATCTACCCCTACGTCCCATCTCGCAATTTAAGATCATCCGGGGAGGCCCTGCTCTTGCTCCCGTTGGACCCCCGAAAATGGTCCAACGACCCCCCCTGGGGGTTGCGACCCCCAGGTTGAGTACCTGCTGCACCAACGCAAATGCAGCTGGTGGGGACAAGGAGCAGAGCCTTCTCGGCTGTGGCCCCCCGCCTATGGAACACACTTCTAAAGGATATAAGATCTGCTCCCTCTCTCCTGACCTTTAGAAAAAATTAAAATCATGGTTCTGGGACCAGGCCTTCGGATAATAGATCAGTGGTTCTCAACCTTTCTAATGCCGTGACCCCTAAATAAAGTTCCTCATGTTGTGGTGACCCCCAACCATATTTTCGTTGCTATTTCATAACAGTAATTTTGGTACTCTTATGAATCATAATGAAAACATGCGAGTTTGGAAAGGCGTGTGGGCCCGGTTGAAAGGCTGCCCACACGGCAGCCATTTTGGAAGGGATGGGGCCAGCCAAGGCAGCTTCGCGACCCCCCGAAAATGGTCCAACGACCCCCCTGGGGGTTGCGACCCCCAGGTTGAGAACCGCTGCAATAGATGTATGCAGCTTTTTAGAGGGACAAGAATGGGAATCTCGACTGATGAGATTCTTTTATGGTTTTAATGATTGTTTTGATGCTTGGTGATGTACCGTTTAATGTGATTTATGTCTAAGTGTGGTTTTACTATTGTAATGCATTTGAATTTTGCCATTATCTATGTCTAAACCACTTTGAGTCCCCCTAGGAGTGAGAAAAGCGGTATATAAATACTGTAAATAAATAATAATAATAATAAACTGAAGGTCTGTAACAGGAATTCCTGTTTGCTCTGACTGCTCTGCGAGGCAAGTCGAGGCATCCAACATGGAAAGCACCCAAAGAACCACGCTCAATTTAGTTTTGCAAAATACAATAACATCTCACAGGCGAGTGGATCACAGGGAGAGGTTTTCGTGGGACAAAGGACTCACCCGAATCGGCAGACTCCGAGTAGGCCGAATCCTGGGAAGACTCCGAGGACACCGAATCCAGGGAGGACCACTCCGCCTTGAGGTCCGTCCCCAGCCGCTTCTTCCGCTTTGGAGTCTCACATTGACTGGAAAGGCAAGAAAAGGAACATGAGACTTACAACAATGATACTCAACCTTCCTAATGACGTGGTCCCTTAATATAGCTCTGCGTGTTGGGGTGACCCCCAACCGTAAAATTAAAGAGCATTAACTCCACCAACAATGGAATTGAACCAAACTTGGCACAGAGAATTTCCACGATGAACAGAAAACACTGGAAGGGTTTGGTGGGCATTGACCATGAGTTTTGGAGTTGTAGTTCACCTACATCCAGGTAGAACACCATGGACTCAACCGGAGATGGATCTAGACCAAACTTGGCACAAATATTCCATATGCCCAAATATGAACACAAATTGAGACTGGGGGAAATAGACCTTGACATTTGGGAGTTGCAGTTGCTGGGATTTATAGTTCATCTACCATCAAAGCCCATTCTGAACACCCAACAATGGAATTGAACCAAACTTGGCACACAGAACTCCCATAACCAACAGAAAATACTGGAAGGGTTTGGTGGGCATTGACCTTGAGTTTGGGAGTTGTAGTTCACCTACATCCATAGAGCACTGCGGACTCAAACCATGATGGATCTGGACCAAACTTGGCATGAATACTCAATATGCCCAAATGTGAACACTCATGGAGTTTGGGGAAAATAGATCTTAACATCTGGGAGTTGTAGTTGAAGGATTTATAGTTGATCTACCATCAAAGAGCATTCTGAAGTCCAGCAATGATAGAATTAGGCCAAGCTTCCCACACAGAATCCCAATGACCAACAGAAAATACTGGAAGCGTTTGGTGGGTATTGACCTTGCGTTTGGGAGTTGTAGTTCACCTCCATCTAGAAAGCACTGTGGACCCAAACAGTGATGGATTTGGACCAAACCTGGCATGAATACCCAATATGCCCAAATGTGAACACTTGCGGAGTTTGGGGGAAATAGACCTTGACATTTGAGAGTTGAAGGATTTATAGTTCACCTCAATCAAAGAGCATTCTGAAGTCCAGCAATGATAGAATTAGGCCAAACTTGGCACACAGAACTCCCATGAACAACACACAATACCGGAAGGGTTTCATGGGCATTGACCTTGAGTTTGGGAGTTGTAGTTCACCTATATCCAGAGAGCACTGTGGACTCAAACAATGATGGATCTGCACTAAATTTGGCATGAATACTCAATATGCCCAAATGTGAACACTCATGGAGTTTGGGGAAAATAGATCTTAACATTTGGGAGTTGTAGTTGAAGGATTTATAGTTCATCTACCATCAAAGAGCATTCTGAAGTCCAGCAATGATAGAATTGGGCCAAGCTTCCCACACAGAATCCCAATGACCAACAGAAAATACTGGAAGCGTTTGGTGGGTATTGACCTTGCGTTTGGGAGTTGTAGTTCACCTCCATCTAGAAAGCACTGTGGACTCAAACAAAGATGGATCTGGACCAAACTTGGCATGAATACTCAATATGCCCAAATGTCAACACTCATGGAGTTTAGGGGAAATAGATCTTGACATTGATAGAATTGGGCCAAACTTCCCACACAGGACCTCCATTTATTTATTTATTTATTTATTTATTGCATTTGTTGACCGCCGTTCTCAGCCCTTTCGGGCGACTCACGGCGGTGTACAACATATAAAAACAGTTTACAATACAACCCTCATACAACACAATAAGCACATAACATCAATAATACAACAATAATTACTCTAAATCATCCGCGTCGTCTCATCGTAAAATCGTAAACCAATCTCGTATTCCATATTCCGTTCCAGTCATCAATGCCAGTTGTTGTAATGTTTAGTTGAACGCCTGCTCGAATAGCCAAGTCTTTAAGCTCTTGCGGAATGACATAAGGGAGGGCTCCTGTCTGATGTCCAAAGGGAGGGTGCTCCATAGCCGGGGTGCCACCACCGAGAAGGCCCTATCTCTCGTCCCCGCCAAACGTGCCTGTGAGGCAGGCGGGATCGAGAGAAGGGCCTCCCCAGATGATCTCAAGGCCCTCGTGGGCTCATAGGCCGAGATGCGGTCAGAAAGGTATTTTGGGCCGGAACCGTTTAGGGCTTTGTAGGCCAACACCAGCACCTTGAATTGGGCCCGGTAGCAGATCGGCAGCCAATGGAGCTGGAACAACAAGGGCGTTGTGTGCTCCCTGCGTCCCGCTCCTGTTAGTAACATGGCTGCCGCGCGCTGGACTAGCTGAAGCTTCCGGGCCGTCTTCAAGGGCAGCCCCACGTAGAGAGCGTTGCAGTAATCAAGGCGGGATGTGACCAGAGCGTGTACCACCGTGGCCAAGTCAGACTTCCCAAGTACGGGCGCAGCTGGCGCACGAGCCGAAGCTGTGCAAATGCTCCCCTGGTCACCGCTGAAACCTGGGGATCCAGGCTCAGCGATGAATCCAGGATCACACCCAAGCTGCGAACCTGCGCCTTCAAGGGGAGTGCGACCCCATCCAGCACCATGACCAACAGAAAATACTGTGTTGTCTGGTGGTCTCTGGCGACCCCCACAAACCCGACCCCCAGGTTGAGAAACACTGCTCTACAAACATGATGGTGCAAGTAACCAATGGGCAAGGCGTAGGCATTTGTGTGAAATGGGGAACGGCTTGAAGACCTGCACAACCACACTGTTTGAAGCCAGGCCTGGCCCCACTTTGGCCCTCCCTCCAGGTGTTTTGGACTGCAACTCCCTTCCAGCTGCTAGGAATTGTGGGAGTGGAAATCCAAAACACCTGGAGGGAGGGCCAAAGTGGGGCCAGGCCTGTTCTGTACCGAGGAGGAGAAACAAAGGCTCTTTGCAGCCAAGCCACTATTATTTGCATTATTTATGTATTTGCATTATTTCTTCCCCGCTCATATCAGCCCGGAGGTGACTTTTGCACTAATTCTCTGCAAGGGAGCACCCACCTGGGCACAAGGTGGAGAGGGAGCCAGGAGAGAAAGGCTTGATGATTAACTGTGTATATTCAGGGCGTGGGCCATTTGAAAAATGGAGGGAAGAAATGCAGCCGAGATTAAAACAACAAACCCTGGCCACCTCACTGCACGCATTTCCGCTGTTCTGCACGGGTGCACAAAGCGTTCTTCCTCCAGGAGGAAGTTGGGTTGGGTGACGCTCAAGCCCAAGATGGAGGGGATGGAAACGACACGAGGAAAAGAAGTGCAGCCTCATTCTTGTCTATTGAACGGGCTGGGATTGAATCCGGACCCTTTGGCAGACTGGGAAGGAGTTGCAGTCACAAGCTGCAATTAATCAGGACACTTTATTTGCCTAATATTGGCAGTCCCTAAGTTAGGGGCAAAATGGGTTCCGTAGGTTTGTTCTTAAGCTCAATTTGTACACAAGTCAGAACAGGTACATTTCAAAGTGTAACTTCAACCATATATGTGTGTGTGTGTGTGTGTGTGTGTGTGTCTATATATATATAGCCCTAAACGGTTCCGGCCCAAGCTACCTATCTGACCGCATCTCTGCCTATGAACCCACCAGGAGTTTGAGATCTTCCGGGGAGACCCTGCTCTCGATCCCGCCTGCTTCTCAAGCTCGGCTGGCGGGGACGAGAGATAGGGCCTTCTCGGTGGTGGCTCCTCGGCTGTGGAACGCCCTTCCTACGGACATTAGACTAGCACCATCTCGAATGGTATTCCGCAAAAAGGTGAAGACCTGGATGTTTGTGCAGGCGTTTGAGTAATTTAGTGCAATCTGGTAATGGAACATAGGAATGGAACAATGGACGACGAACCTGGACTACGCTTGGATGATGAGAAGATTGGGTACGGTTGTTTTTTGTAATAATTGTGCATTGTAATGGCTTATTGGTAATTTATGGATAATGTGTTAAGTCAATTGTTCTATGTTGTATGGAACCACTGCTGTTTCTACTGTTTTTACTGTTTGTGAACCGCCGTGAGTCGCCTTCGGGCTTGAGATACAGCCGTATAGAAGCAAAGTCAATAAATAAATAAATAAATAAATATATGGGCTGGGCGGTTTCGTTTCATAATTTCATAACTCGTTAAAAATTCGTTTTTTTATAACGAAGCGATAACGAACCATTCAATTTTTTAAATTCGTTTCGTAATTGTTTCGAATTTGTTCTGTATTTGTTTCGTTATCGTTTTGAAATCGTTTCGTTATTATTTCCGCATGTCTGGGGCAAGTTTTATAGTTGTTTTTTGTTTAATTAGTGAAAAAAGATTATAAATATCACACCAACAGTCAACAACAGAGGGAGAGGGAAGCTTCAGAAGTTCCCCCTGTCCCATTTGGAGGTTTTTTAGCATATTGCGCGGTCGCGTCCGCCATTAACGAATCGATTCGTTATTGTTTCGTAATTGTACGAAATTTCGTAAATATCGAACTTTTTAAAAGAAAAATTTCGGAATTCTTTTTAAAATCGAAACGCAAAACCCCCCAAAAAAACTAATCGATTTTAGAAACAAATTTTTCCGTTGTTACCCAGGCCTACTAGTTATATGTCACCTTGTCATGCCCAGCATACCCTGGGAATTCCACAGATATATAACAGCACTCCATGCAGTCATGCTGGCCACATGACCTTGGAGGTGTCTACGGACAACGCCGGCACTTCGGCTTAGAAATGGAGATGAGCACCACCCCCATATTCGGACACAACTGGACTTAATGTCAGGGGAAAACCTTTACCTATACCTATACACACCCATACCCACACTAGCTGTGATGCCACATGTTGCTGTGCCCAACCTTCCCTCCCTCTTTCTCTCCTCCCTTCCCTCTTTCCTTCCTTCCCTCTTTTTCTTTCCCTTCTTCCTTCCTTCTCTGTTTCTTTCCTCCCTTCCTTTGCTCTTTGGTTCCATCCTTCCTTGTCTCTTTCCTTCCTTCCTTTTTCTCTCTTTTTCATTCCTTCTCTCCTTCCTTCTCTACTTTTCTTCTCCTCCTTCTTTCCCTTTCTCTCCCTCCTTCTCTCTTTCCTTCCCTTTCTGTGTATGTGTTTTGTGTCTGCATATATGTGTGTATATATTTCTGT